TGAATTGTTTCATTCGATACAATAAAACTTCCAACATAATAATACATTTTGATGAGAAAGTTATTTATAACATTTTTTTTGGAATACCGTTTTGAGGATTAAATTAAACAAAAAAGTTAATTTTTTTCTTTTTAAAACAATAAAAATTAAAAATTAAATTTAAAACAATAAAATATACAAATTAAAAGAAAATTAAATTGAAAAAAGAAAATAAACAGTTTAAAAAGCAAGAAGAAAATAAATAATAAAAAGTAAGTGAACTTAAAAATTTTTTTCTCATTTTTAAATTTTAATTTAACTTAAAAAAATTTTGATTCAAAAAGAAAAATACGTATATTTTTCACCAAGTTTTTCGAATTTATTTTCTTCTCTAAACTATTTTTTAATGTTTTTTAATTTTCATTTAACTTTCAGATTTTAACGTTTTGAATCAATTTTTTTTAACCTTTATTTAATTAAATTCCTTTTAAATAAAATTTTTTTTGTTTTAAAAAGAAAAATATTTTTTTATTTCATTAAGTTTTTAGCAACTTATTTTATTTTTTTCTTTCTTTAATTATATTTTTTCTTGTTTTTCCACAAAAAATTTTCATTAATAGCGGCATCAAGCTCTATCATACTTTTTTTTTTAGTTATATTATTTACAAAAAAATGCATTTCATTTAATTTTTAGCAAACTTATTTGGTTCGTTTTTAATAATTTTCTATTTTTTATTTAAACTTTCTTAAAAACTTTTTTCTTTCGAAATAATGCGGTCAGTTAAAAGACGGTTGCCAGAATTGCCCTTTAAATATGTTGGGGCCGTTTTCTTGACTGCTTGTTAAATTTATCTTCCCGACTGCCTGTTAAATGCATATGAGTAAAGAATTTGACGGGCCGTCAAAGCACCGGTTAACTTTAACAGACAGTCTAGAAAACGGCCTTTAGTATTAAATCTCTTAATATTAGTGATTTGCTGGCGGCATATATAATGTGACCAACCGTACTTCTTTCGGAAGTACAGTACTTCTTTTTTAGCTCTTGTACTTCGTACTTCGAAGTACAGTCAAATGTACTTCTTTTCGATATTTTGTACTTCTGGAGGGAGATTCTGTAACCAGTTAACGACAATTTTCGGATCGCTATCGCACTTTTTTATGCATGATATAAATGTTTTTGCGTCAAAAAGTGCGATAGCGATTCGAAAATTGTCTCTAACTAATTACGGAATCTCCCCCAGGTTCTGTTCAAACCATTAAAGTCGTATCATACCTGCGCAGCTGCAAAGGGCTATGTAGGTGTCGTGCAATTGGTTGGATCCTATTTATGCGAACTGCGTGAGGACCGGGTACATCCCCATGGCTTGAAGGGTAGTCAGTATTGCGTTCATCCCGAAGGGCGGAAAAGGCTCTCATGTTTCCCGTACGGATTTTAGGCCTATCAGTCCCTTCGTGTTTGATAAAAACGCCTTTGCTAAAAACGGGAGCCTAGTCAAGTATATTCATCAGGGGGTTGAAACTAACCTAATAAGCTTACTTCGTGACAGAGCTGTCGCGGCGTAGTGGGGGAGCGTCTGCACTGCAAAGTGGTGTTCTCTCTCCCCTGCTCTGGATTTCGGTTGTAAACGACCTTCTAGTGGAACTGGAAAAAGTGGGCTGTCGGGTGATCGCCTATGTAGATGATGTGGAACTTTTGGTTAAGAGACGATTTATATACACCGATTTTGATCTGGCTCAAGGTTACCTGAACTAGGTGGGCGATAAACGGCGGCTGGTGTAGAAACCTAACATTGAGGAAAAGGGTAGGAAAGGTGTCGGTTGCCTTGTACTGCTAAAGGGGAGTTAGCAGTAAAAGGTAGGGTCTCTCGCCCAAATTAATTCATTAGCTCTAGGAAACCAGATTTACGCCTATATTGTTTCAAGAAGCTCTTGTCTGGTGGAACTCACTAGAAAAGGCTACACTTGTAAGACACAAATTATCGGAGCATTAGGAACCACACCTACACTGGCGCTTAACATACGTATGTTGAACATGGCGCCGGCGGATATTGCAGACAGAATTGTCGCAGCGCGAACTGCTATTAGGCTAAGGGAAACCGGGGCCTTTTGTGACATAAAAAAGGAGAAGAAGACGTTTCTCTGCACATGTTACCTCTCAAGGGCTAGTGGCTTCTGATATACCATTGTGCGATTGGTATTCATGCGGTGAGACTAGGAATTTCGGCTGATCCTTTTGTATCTGTCAAGACGAATATGAAGTGGAATCATCTCCACACTTTCTTTTTGACTGTCTAACCTTTGCGAGGCTAATATGGAAGCATTTTGGCTCGCGCTTCTGAACAAACACTGAGCTCTCAGGGATCGAAATTAGCCGTATTCGAAATTTCGTAATCGGCTCTTGCGGCGTTTACTTAACCCAACCTAACCTGTACTTCTTTGAGCTATGAAATAGTTGGTCACATTAGGCAGATACATAGTTTATTTCATAGTGAAATTTCGGTATAATTATTTTTAGTCGATAAATTACCTTTACAAAAGTACCACACACGTTCACATCGCAAACAACGAATCTGGCGATTTTTGCCCACTAAGGCAGCACGGCACTGAGCGCTGGCGCTTTCCACAGCCAGCATAGTGCAATTAAGATAAAGGAAAGTTAATCTTACAACAACAGATGTTTATGGTATGCAGGTATTGGATTATTTTATCATTATTTGCATATGTACTTGCATTGTCTCCTGCTTTCCTTTGGGTTTTCCGCCAGCAAATGCGGCAATATGCCACACAAATTTGTATTTACATATGTGTATTCAACTATTGTTAGAAAAATCTATTTTAAAAATGCGCAAAATCGATGAAGAAAAACATTGGAGGCGGTACACACATACATACATATGTACAAAAATGTAACATGAAATATGCAAACGATATGTCAGCAGCAAATTTATTGGCAATTCCGCAAATTTGCCCAACATCATGCACAAGCGTATCGACAGCAATAGATGGGCCGTAGGCATCGCAATAGCTATGCACATAATCCTCTTGCTTCTTACCTACACATTTTTAGTATGCACAAAAAAAGCGCACAATTACATACATACATAGATACCTCCTAGGTATGTACAGTACGTCCCACTATCTATATTTTTTCAGTTATTTGAACTATATCCTCTTGAAGCATTTGCATGTATAAGTAAATCTATTTCATTTGTATACAGGACTTTTATGAAATATTGAAGAGCCCTCGGTTAGGTTATTTTACGTAAGGTTAGACGAGCAGCTTTGGCAAGACAGTTCAGTCGTGGTCCACAGAGTCTCATTGTTAATTGCTGTGCTTCAAAGTAACCTACTAAATACGATACAATTAGTGTATTTTGCACCATTTTGATGCCCTTTCGTAGAAATGATAACTGCCTATATGTATCTTTAGTACTCGGTCTTTATTCCTTGTTGAATTTGCCGCTATCTCCTTTATAAGATCCTTAGGTGTCTTCTTAATACTTTATGCCTAATAGCTGCTAGACCTGGGCATTCACAAAGCAAATGCTGAACACCTTCTTCTCTACCTTCTTCCATTATCTCTGCATGTTTCGCCATCGGCCAGTGACTCCTAACTTTTACTATAATTTTAAATACTTATTTCTATTCTTAATCTGTTAGGCAGGTCTATTGTGTCTTCTGTATATCCGACCAGCTTTTCCTTGCCAGTGGAAGCAAGTGCAAACTAATTTCTCTTTGAATGACTTCGAGGAGGCAACCAGCCTCAGATTCCACCATTTAGGTTCCTGCCTTCGCCAAAACAGCGGTCATCTCAGACCAGAAAGACGCTTAATGACGCAGACACTTGATATCGATATATTCAAGTATTTACAGTTTATAGCCCGGAAAAAACCACGTATGTGCTCTCCGAGTATTGACTCACTCTTGACTCTCAGAAAATATTGTTGCTTCCCGTACTCTAACGATGCCTTTTCCAAGAACCTCACAAGCATCAAAGATGTATAAGATATAAATAGAGGAAGAACTACGAACAGCCCATCACAATACTGCACCTAACCCTAGAGCCCCTCTAAATTTTAGAATATATCCCAGTGGTAGGGAGTGTATATGCTCTTATCTTGGCCATATAGATATGTTGTATGCACCGCTCTCTCCGTTAAACGACCTCACCCTGCAGGAGGAGGTGCGGTCTCTTTAGCAGAGTCACAAAAGCGACTTAGATCATATGACTAGATCCGTAGCATATGTAAGTGGCCTCTTAGCCCGCAATTACCAAACCAAATGACTGTAATAATTATTAGCCTCTACTTGTGGAGGTTTATGACTTGTCTATATCGCTTTAAATTGTAGCCTAATGGTAATTCGCAAATGCACTTCCCTAAGTTTGGTGTTTTCCCTTCTGAGCGCTTTTTTATCATGTTATCACTACCGCAAAAAAAAAAATAGATCATATTCTATTAAAGTTTAAGTAGCGGCCATTC